GTAGGAAATTAGCGTATGATGAAAGCTGAATTTGAAAGCAAGGTGAAAGAATGTATTGAACGGTAAATGTCGTTAGGATAATTAACTATTTGGGATGGGGAAAGCAGGGGAGAAATCTGTGCAGATTGCCAACTCACTCCTAATCTCCCCCCCCCAAATATTGTTACTCAAAATTTTTAATTTTTAGAACACATATTCGTAGAACCAGAGGAAGGCTGGTCTTCTTGTCGTTGTTGTCATCTTATGCACACGTGCATAAGTAAAAGTGATCTCAGTGTGCAGTGTTGTAGTAATAAAGTAATGTAAATTCTAATAAGCCTTTGTGTTTTAATATGCCATATCTCACCCCACAGAAACCACCCAGCAAGTCAGGGGACAGCTGTCATTCACCCCATTTTAAAAAGGAGACTGAGAAGCATCTCAATGAGTGACTTGCTCAAGGTCACACCCCCTAATCAGAGGCAGAACCAGAGCTTGGACTCTAAATGAGATATGTTCACCTCATTTTGATGTGCTAGATACGTTTGTGAAACCAGCCATCTCAGATTTGGAAATCACTTTCCACTGTGACTTGTAGTCGTGTCCACGCTGCCTTTCCACCACCCTGGTTCCTGTCCCACCACCACAAACCCTGACAGTCACAGTTCCACCCACTCTAAACCCTGGACCACTGCACACACTGCTTTTTCCACCTCAGAAGTCTCATAATTCAGCAGCCCCCGGGTACTTCATACTCATGCTCTCCAACTCCCTAGGGTCCCCGAGCACTCCCTCCTCATAATCCTTCTCCATCCACTCTGTCTCCTTCCCTCTTTTATCGAAGTGTCTCTCTCCTTACACACCCAGTTCTGTGCACAGTACCACACCCCCCAACCAACCTCCGCTTTCTGTTAATGCAAGACAGATGCAAACCACATCATGTAATCTTATGTTTTCTAGAAGCCACATGTAAAAAGAGAAATTGGTAGGGACGCCTGGGTGGCTGAGTTGGTTGAGCGGCTGCATTCGGTTCAGGTCATGGTCCCAGCATCCTGGGATCGAGTCCCACATCTGGCTCCTTGTTCAGCGGGGAGCCTGCTTCTCTCTCTGCCTCTGTCTGCCTGTGCTCACTCTTTCTCTCTGACAAATAAATAAAATCTTTAAAAAAAATAAAAAATAAAAAAGAGAAATTGGTGAAACTATTGTTAATAATATAGTCTACTTGAACTGGATATATCTAAAATATTACCTCAATATATAATCAACACAAAAATTATTAATGACATAGTTTAAATTCTTTTTTTCATACAAATTTTGAAATCTGGGGTGTAGTTCACACATCTGTGTGGACTAGCCACATTTCAAGGGCTCAAGAGCCACAAGTGGATGGTGGCTACTGGCTATTGAATTGGACAGCACAGACCTAGGCTGTCATTCCAATGAAAATGGCTTCAATTACTGCTGGATAAAGAGATCAAGCGTGACTTTTTTTTAAAGATTTTATTAATTTATTTGACAGACAGACAGCACAAGTAGGGAGAGAGGCAGGCAGAGAGAGAGAAGAAGAAGCAGGCTTCCTGCTGAGCAGAGAGCCCGACTCAGGGGCTCCATCCCAGGACCCTGAGACCATGACCTGAGCTGAAGGCAGAGGCTTTAACCCACTGAGCCACCCACGCGCCCCATGCATGACTTTTTTAAAAATAACTTTGAATTATTCTTCTTCAACCAACACAAATTGCTCATGGTTAAGAATTTCCAAACCTTGTGATTTTAAGTATCTTTGGCATGTCAGGGGGATTTAAGTGAGTGAATCTTCACATTCAGGCTCTAAGATAAGTTATTGTTTTTTTAAACAGCACGTGTGGCATCATCTGTCTTCCTTTGCACATAATCATCCATACCTAGCTCCCATCTGCTTCTCCACTGTGAATTATCCTCCCTCTTCCCTGCAACCTGTGCAACATCTCCTTCTACAGATCATTGGGCTGAAGAAATGGAATGCCCAGAAGAAATATTTCGTATCCTCATCACTTCCATGCAAATATTAACCCATTCACACTTTCCAATCTGGCTTTAGAAGATCTTTGGTTACTGGTATATGACCAAGGGAAATCAAATTCAGATTCTAGAAAAGGCTCTGTATGCAGTGCTGCTTCAAAGTTTTTTTTTTTTTTTAATTTTATTTATTTGTTAGAGTGAGAGAGAGAGAGAGAGCACAGTCAGGCAAAGTGGCAGGCAGAGGCAGAGGGAGAAGCAGGCTCCCCGTGGAGCAAGGAACCCGATATGGGACTCGATCCCAGGATACTGGGATCATGACCCGAGCCGAAGGCAGACGCTCAACCAACTGAGCCACCCAGGCGACCCTCAAAGTTATTTTAAAACAGGCTCGTTGTTCACATTTACTTAAAATTCGACATACTCAAAAGCTATTATATATCCCACTTTGGTTTCTTTTTAAAAGAAATTGACCCAGTGATTCTCCACAAACACGAGCCACTCATTTTTTAATCCAAAGAATGCACTTCTCGCTTTAAAGAATAGGAGTAAAATTATGTTTTTGGTGCTTAACTATAGAAGCAGTCTAGTCACTGGAAAATGTGGACATGAGGTGCACACAGCTTAAGAAGTTAAATGGTTTTGGGGTGCCTTGGTGGTTCAGTGGGTTAAGCATCTGTCTTCAGCTCGGGTCATGACCCCAGCAGGATAGAGCCCTCCATCAGGCTCCTTGCTCAGTGGGAGGGCCTGCTTCTCTCTCTCCCTCTGCTGTTCCCTCTGTTTGTGCACACGCTTGCTCTCTCTCAAATAAATTAAAATATATTTTTTTAAAAAGTTAAATGGTTTTGAATTTGGAAACTAAGATGTAGTCACTTACTTTAATTACCCAATGATTTTTATATTCATGTTACAGTTTGCTTTCGAATTGCTCTGTTTGCCATCCTAGTAATGACAGGTCCGTCCCTTTTTCCCTAGGCTGTGAAATGTGGCATGTAGAACCCTGACCTGGGCAGTTACCAGACCTGGATTTCGATCCTCACTGCCAGTTGCCAGCCAGCTATATGACCTTGGGTGCAGACTAGTCACCCTGCTGGCTTCAGCCTCCAGGGCTATAAAAAGGAGGTTGACAGCAGAGTGCTTCCAGATCGCCATTCCTGACCGAAGCACTAATCTTCCTCTATTCCCATTATCCCTGAAACACGTGCCTCCTTATGCATCCCGTTCTTCTTAAATGAGAAGATGGCTGGCAGCACAGCAGTGAAACCGCAAGGAAAAACTGTTTAAAAAAAAAAAAATCCTAAAATGAGTCACCTTTCAAGAATTTATCATTGTCTGATGCCTGGGTGCTTGATCATGGAGCTGTATCAGTTCTTTCATTGAAACTTGCTCTAAGAACCTGGTAATTATTATGTACCGTTCTTGGGTGATGTTTACACTAGACACTCAACTCTTTTAAGATCCACTCTTAGGTATAAAATAAACAGAAGTGAGTTATGCATCAAACAGACATAAGCAGCCACATAAATTGTCCTTAGTGCAGCCTGGAGAAAAATTAGCTCAAAATCACAGAGAATTCTAATTAGGTCTTTGCACCAGCTTTCAATAAGTTAGAGAAGATAATTACAGCTCCCCAAACTTCCCACTTCACCTCCCCACGACCCTGCTGCCTAAATCTAGCCAGCTACAAGAATCACTCCCTACCCCTTAGGACCAGCTGCAGCAACACCCAGGAGAGCCTTCCCCGCAGCCTATATCCTCACCAAGGCTTAAGTCGGGGCAGGGGATGTGAGCTGTGGTCTCAACGGCTTCCGCCTGGCCCGACTTTTTCATGCTGCCATGTTCAATTAACATAGATTTCCTCTGCAACCCATGGCATCTTTTGGTCAGACTGGGAACACAGTTGCACACACCCACACACACACAGCCGGGGAAGCTGGACACAAGTCTAATTCAAGACCAAACTGCAAGTCAGAATTAAACAGCAAATCCAGAAAGCCCATATGTAAAACCGTACCAAGTCAGTTTTGAGTCAGAGTGAATAACAGTTTCCTTAGATGCACTTGGGCTTAATGGACATTTTAAACCCCTAAATCCGAGTGCTCGTCACTTCTCTAAAAGTTGAAGCGTTCCCCCTGTTTTGCAGACCCCACTAGTCAGAGACCTCAGCAATGATGTCGCCAAATAATCAGCGGCCGGACCAACAAGCGAACCGAGGGCTGACGAGCATAATCATAGCAGAAATGCTACCCGTAAGTGTCCTGGCGCCACGGCGTACCTGTCCTGACACCCCACCCCCAACTCCAAAGAATCGCCCGGAGTGTGGCTGGGGGCGGGGGATGTGGTGTCAAGTCCTGCAGCCCGCCCAGACGACAGTAACAGCCGTTAAGAGCAGGCCAGTCCCCTGGACACGATTAGCGATCGCAAACCGGATGGACGTGGGCGCAGAGCCAGGTCAAGGACAGCGGGTCCCACCAGGCAGCCATGTTCGCGGAACCCGGGTAGCAGGTGCGCTACCTCCCGGGAAGGTGCCAGGCCCACTCCACCACCAACGCTGCCACCACCGAGCGAGCTTCGAACCCCGGGAACAGCCCAAGAGGTGGGGGGGGGGGGGTCACAGGCACATACCCCAGCGGAGCAGCAACTTGGCTGCCAGTTAATGGAAACACAGGAAAAGCACCCGGAGGTCAGAGCAAAGGATGGGGCTGGGGTGCAGAGCGGGGAGACAGGGTCAAACCCGGCGGCAGTGCCCGCGCCTGGGGTGGGGCGTCCCTGTCCTGCGCCCCGTCAACCTACTAGCCCGAGTCATCCGCACCCGGCCCGAGGCCACCTCCCCATCCCCCCGGAGTCCCCAGCTTGCCCTGCCACCACCCGCCGGGTTTCAGCCCGGGGTCTGGCTACCCGCGGGTTTGAAGGGACAGGGGTCGGCAGCGAGGCACAGGGGACGACGATGGCGGACGCGGCTGAAACGCTCGAGGAGAAGCGGCGGCGGACGCCCCGCGCTCCCAGCCGTGCCCGCCGCGGCTCACCTGCCCGGCGGCGGGCTGCGGGCTCGGCTCTGCGGTGCTGATGCTGCGGCCGCCGAGGGTGCGGGTGCTGCCGTGGCGGCGATTACTGCGGCGACATCGGCGGCTGCAGCTGCAGTGGCGGAGGCGACCGTCGGGCGCTTCCCCCTCCTCAGACTCTCGGCGCTCGGGCCCGCCGCCCCCTGCGCACGGCTGGCCCGGATCACGTGACCGCGGGGCCCACCCCCGCCTCCCCCACCCGGGCCCCGGGGCCGCGCCGCACCCGCCGCGTCTGGGCGCCGGGGCTGCAGCGCCTCGCTCGGGCGGTAGGGGAGGGTGCCTGGGAGCAGGGGAGCGGCTGAGAAGGCGGCTGTCGCCGCAGAAAGTGGCTTGCTCTTGGCTCGATTTCTAGTTCTTGGTCACGGCCGGGATTTCTGCCCTCTCGAAAGCGAGAACTCGGGCTTTACGGAGCCAGGCCGCACTCCCGCCGCGCGCACTCCCGAACTCCGCAGTGGGGTTGCTACGTGCGGCCTCAGTGCCTAAGCAAAATTTCCCCGCGGGAAAAACGTGTCCTGTACGTCGTGGATTCCCAGGTCCAAGCCGACTCCCTGGTTTTAAAGGTGCTGTCCTGCACCATGTTGCTAAGAGGGACCCTATGCTGGGTATTTGGACATTGAAGCCCAAAGAGGTTAAGAACTTCGCCCAAGATTACACAGCAAATAGCAAAGCCAAGATTCCATACCTTGGGTTAAGAAATACGCAGACAGGTGACAGGTGTGTTGATGCTGGCATCAAGTTCATTAATCGGGACATGACCATCTGTTACCAGATCACAGATTCTACCTCTAACAAACTGAGGAGAAAAGCCCAACTCAAAGGATATGAAGAGGTAGTTCACAAGAAAACAAACTCAGTACCACTCAGGCACATGAAAAGATATTCGGGTTCACTTAGCTGTTAATCAAATATACAAGGTAGCATTTTCCATCTATCAGATTAGCAAAAGTAAAAAATTTTATAGCCTCCACAGGGGACAATTTTGCATTATGTCCCCAAATAACAAATACATATATAATCTTTGATCCACGGATTCCACTTCTGTAATTTATCCTATGTATATACTGATAGAGGTGTGAAGTGATGTGAGTACAAGGTCATCCATTGCTGCATTATTTGTGCTAACGAAGACTGGAAGCCAATGTCCATCAATAAAGGACCATTAAGGAGTGCCTGGGTGGCTCAGTCGTTAAGCGTCTGCCTCTGGCTCAGGTCATGATCCCAGTGCCCTGGGATGGAGCCCCATATCCCCTTGTCAAGGAGCCTGCTTCTCCCTCTCCAGCTTCCCTGTACTTGTGTTCCCTCTCTTGCTATCTCTGTCATAAATAAATAAAAATCTTTAAAAGCATAAAAAAGTAGTAATAAAAAATAAAGAACCATTAAATATATTGCAACATATCAATACAATGGAATGTTATCCACCTATAAAAATTTTAAAATGGGGAAGCTCTATCTCGGTGTACTGATATGAAAAATTCCCAACCCATACTAAGGGAGGTGAGGGGACAGAATCCTGTGTGTGTTACCATTTGTGGAGAAAAAAATAAGACCATACTCATATTTGCAAATGCATGGCATATCTTTGGAAGAATACAGAAGAAACTGTAATAATAGATGGCACCAGGAAGGAGAATTGGGTGACAGAATTCAGGGGAGGGAAGGAGACTTTTCTTTCATGTCTTTTGAATGTTACCCCTGTGCTTGTGGTTTGCCACATGAGTGAATGGACAGTAGGAGAAGACTGAGGGGATCAGTGGAATACTGCAGGAAGGAGCAGTGGTCAGACACTCTTTGAGCACAAAAGGACCGTATTGTGCAAATAGACCAACCATGGAAACCGTCCTTTTACTTTTAACCTATTTCTCCCTTTATGTTAGTGTAGGTCTTTGGTTTTCTGTTTTGTTTTTGTTTTTGTTTTGACACAGAAAGAGAGATCGATCACAAGTAGGCAGAGAGAGAGGGAGAAGCAGTCTCCCCACTGAGCAGGGAGCCCAATGCGGGGGCTCGATCCCAGGACCCTGAGATCATGACCTGAGCCGAAGGCAGAGGCTTAACCCACTGAGCCACTCAGGTGTCTGTTGTCTTTTTTTAAAAAAACCAAATATAATTGGATCCTGCTTTTCATTCAGACACTCTTTGTGTTTTAGTTAGAGTGTTTAGAGCAGCAGCTCTTAACATTTGCCAATGTCTAGAGATAGCTTTGGTTGTCAAAATGGCAGAGGTAGGGGAGGTCTCTCCTGGTACCTAGTGCACGGAGGCGAGGGACGCTATTAACACACTAGGACACAAAGCCCAGCCTCCCACACCAAGAATTATCTGGCCCTCAATGTCAATAGTTCTGACATTGAGAAACTCTGGTTCAAACCATTGATTTTTAATGGAAATATCAACATGGTGGGTTATAAATATAACATCTTGATGCTTCCATTTGTTCCATCCGTTCTTTGCTTCTCTGTCTCTTTTTCACTTTTTATTTGCCTTCTTTTGAAAAATTGAGGGGTTTTTTAGTACTGCATTTTATATCCATTGTAGATTTATTAATCATACTGGGTGTTTTACTTTGGATAACTCTAGGATTTACAATATGCTTCTTAAATCTAGCACTATCTACTGTCAAATAATATAATTTCAGGTATAGGGGCGCGTGGGTGGCTCAGTGGGTTAAAGCCTCTACCTTCAGCTCAGATCCCAGGGTCCTAGAATTGAGCCCCGCATCGGACTCTGCTCAGCAGGGAGCTTGCTTCCTCCTCTCTCTCTCTCTGCCTGCCTCTCTGCCTACTTGTGATCTCTGTCTGTCAAATAAATAAATAAAATCTTAAAAAAAAAAAAAAGGATGTGCTTGGCCCATTTAAGGCTTGTTTATAAACTATTTAAGACAGGTCTAGGGTAGCTTTAACTCTACGGCTACTTCAGCCCTTCAACTAAGGTATGACTCACATAGGGGCTCTAATAAATGCTCCATGGGATCCATAAAGTGATCCCAGCTGGTAGAAACGTGAACAAGTCCCAGTTTTGTGTGAGATCTGAAGGTTGTGGAGGCCCAGTTCCCAGTGGTTATTCTTTCCTCAACCTTGTGGAGATCCCTCTGCTGCAAGCATAGACTGGTATTCAATCAATGACTAAAATGCAGATTTCTGAATTTCTTTTCCAGTTAGTTTTCTGCAGAACTCTGTCCCACAAACTCTAACTGCTTTGACCTTCCTGAACTCTGATCTCCGTTTCCTCAGCCCCACAAGACAACTGGGCTTTGTTTTGTTTCCCTTCTCTTTGCTGTGTGTGGTTCAGGAATTGCCTCCAAGCAGAAAGCTGAGGTAATTGTAGGTCTCATCTCATTGTTTCCTTTCTCTTGAGAAACAGTCCTGTTATGCCTGCTGTCCAGTGTCTGACCCAAGTTGTCTCGTGTACTTCATTCCAGGTGTCTAGTTGCTTACAATAGGACAGCAAGTCTCATAGCAATTTTCCCTCATGGCTAGCTTTGGAAGTCTAGGAACACTGATCTTACTGCCTGTAAGGAACCAAATGTACTGATATAGAATCAACTAGGCCCATTATTTTATAAACTATAAATGCATAGTTTACTTATAGAAGTTCTTCAACATGCCTAATTTAACAAGAGTCATTTATGGAACACCTGTACCAGGAACTGCATTTTTGCTACAAAGATGTAAAAGGTATATCATAGGCTGTCCTCTCAGAAGACAGAGGCAAGCGAGGAAATTAATTAAGTATAAAGGTAATATATGCATATATGCTATGTTCCTGTCAGAGTGACCTAAGAGTTCTGCACAGATAAATCTGTTGATCTAGCGTACTGGGAACTGTGAACAAATGTGAAAGATGATCATAAATGAGGGTTATCCAAACAGAGGCCATTAAAAAAAAATTATTGATGACAATGTTGCCTTGTTCATTTTTTTTTTAAAGCAGAACTGCTGTCTAAAGAACTCTAGCCTGGGCAATGATTATGAGGAGCCGAAGTACATGAGTAATTGAGAAATGCCTTTAACACATTACTCATGGAGATATTTTCCACTTAGTGCTTCTTTTAGTGTATAATTGCAGCAGGGAGAAAAAGATCTGTCACTGGGCAGATCTCATGGGGATGAACAACAGACAGTATTATGTGAATGAGACACTCACAAATGGGTAAGAAAGCCTGTGTAATTGCTTTGTATGTAATCTTATGAGAACCGAAGAAGCTGAGAGAAAAGCCATGAAAAAAGGAGAAAGAAAAGCACCAGTTAAGATTAGTCAGCCACCTGCCTTAATCCTATGACAACCATCTTTAAGAGGTTAGTGTTCTGAATTTGGTTACCATAGAAACAAACCTTTAGAATGCCCTTAAATCAATTTACAGAATTACTGCCCATATTGAGTATAGGCAACCCCAAGAGACTTTAAGTATTAAAATCTATTTTAAAATTATTTTTAGAATTTAAATGATCCATCAAGCCTTTTAAATATGTAATTAGATAGCCAAAATGGTTTACTATATGAATTTCTCAGATTGTCAGTTTTTCTTTACTGTGAATATAAAGAAAGAATTGAGCTTTAAGAATTATTAGGAAATTTCTAGAATAGGCAAATAGATAAAGTAGTTTGGTAGTTGCTTAAGGAGTTGGGGAAAGGGGGGGATTTCTTTTTAGTAAAAAAAAGTTCTAAAATTAATTGTGATGGGAACTCCTGGGGGGCTCAGTTGGTAAATGTCCAACTCTTGATCTCAACTCAGGTCTTGAACTCAGGGTCGTTGAGTTCAAGCCCTGAGCTGGGCTCCATGCTGGGCATGGAGTCTACTTAAAAAAATTTTTGTAAAATTAATTGTGATGGTTGCACAATCCCGAGAACACTAACATTTATTGAACTGTAAAAAAAATTACTGTTACATATTAATTTTAAATTTTAAAAAGTACCCTACCTAAAAAAAAAAAAAAAAAAAAAAAAAAAAAAAAGACAACCATTGCACATTGCCCAGCTCAGAAGAAATAGGTCAATGACAGAGAGTGAATACTTTTGAAGAATTATTGCCATAGTAATAACATGTTAGGAACAAGGAGTCCAAGGAGCAGAGTTGATTTACTGTTCAGTCTTAATGAGAGTAAGAATCAGTTAACTTAGTAGGCTGCCTAATTTTCTTAAAAATTATAACACAAA